TCGTATATAATTGTGCAAATATATTTTAAATAAAAGATATTTGTTTACTTTTTTTACTATAAAAAATTTATAAAATACATTATTCATTTTTATTTTGCTAAAATAAAACATTCAAAAAATAATCAAGTAGGACAGAGTTATATTAATTTAATTAATAAATAATTCTATTTGATTTGATGATTTTTTTCGATGGAAGAGGACCACAAGCGCAGCCCGGTATGCAAAATTAAGAAAAGAAGCAGAACTATAAGGTATTAAATTAAAGATTTAATTTTCGTGAGAAGATCTTTTAATATATAATTATTATTTAAATCAGCAATTGTGCATTTCTTGTGATAATCACTTGATACTTTAGAGCAGCGTGAAAGCTGCGTGCCTTCGTGTGTTAAACATCGCTTTCAAACCGGTCGTAAGTAGCAAAAAGATTCTACGAGAATGCGTATTATAGCACCAATACACCTCGAATATTTGAGATCATTGATGTAAAGCGAAGAAAAATGCTGTAAATGTCAATTCATGGGCGTATTGAAGAAATGATGTGACGTAATGTAAAAAAAATCAAAGTAGATGTACATTCTACGAAGAATTTGTGCTTTATTTCGCATCTGCATTTATTTATTCAACATCCTGGATGGATGACAATACAAAATGTGTCATCAAATAGCAGAAATCGTGTTATCTCATGATTTTTTTCTTGGAAAAGATAAAACAAAAACAATTCCAAATGTGATCAGAATATAATATAATAAGCATTGCAATATTATATTGTTAAACTGATAGACGTATTTCAAAATAACTAAAGATAACTTTTCTCTCATCCATATTATTTAATTAAAAAACTCGAAAGGGAAATCGTGAAATCATAGTCTGGCACTTTTGTCATCTGGATCGTGTTTGCATTTCGGTTGCCAGAAGACGACGACGGCGCCATTGAGAGCTATTGATTCATGCGAATGTGAGGGAGAAGGGTCTGGGTTTCGGGTTGAAAGACGGACCGGCTGAAAAAAGATAAAAGAAAGATTATGCGCGGAAAGAAAAAGCACGATAACACGCGGTTAAATTGCACGAGTAGACATGGGGATCGATCTATGTATTTTCCAGAAAAGTTAATGCTAGGTTTTCTTAAATATAATATTTTTATGATGAAGTTAATAATATAAAATTTCTTTATTGAAAATAATACTTTAAAAAAGTCACTTTTAATATAAAAAATTATTACACTTATATTTTGAAGTAATAAACTAAACATTAACTATAAAAACATATATTACATAAATTTTTTCAAAGAAAAGGTATAAAATTATTAGAAAGAAGAAAGATTATAAAGGAGAATATTTATCATTTTCTTAATATACATAAATATTATTGTTATTATTATTATTATTATTATTAAATATTAGATCTAATTTGATCTAATCTTATTCTCTCATAATGGCATATTTAAAATAATTAAGATACAGCTATTATGAATAATTTTTCGAGTGTATCGTGCAAATTTTTAAAGTATGAAAATAAGAAGGGATGAAAGCGTATATTGAAAGGTCGTTATAAACTGTCATAGCTCTCAGAGTTCGCCGTCGTCGTCGAGATAACGACGAATGATAAGGAGCCAAGAATAAGACAATCAAAACTGAGACTTCCCTCCTTTTCTCTCTCTATCACTATTTAAAGAGACCATCACAATGTATAGACCAGCGAGGACCAATGATCGATCGATCGATATAATGATACATGTATATACGAGCTGCGTGCAAGGGAGAAAGAGCGATATAAAATATGAGAATGTAAGCCAAAGGAGGCGTATCAGCCAAAGCTCGAAACTCGGTCAACCGACGGCTCTAATCTATTCGTCGTACCTCTGAAAGGCGAACTTTTTGGCTTTGGCAGGATAGAGTACCGACCTATTTGCAAGAATCGAAGGCAGAATTAAGACAAGAACGTATATAAGACAAGATCACGATTATCTTAAATCGATTATGAAATTGCTTCTACGAACTTCTCAGATAACTGCGTAAAATCGAACTGCGCAGTTCTTCGAATCAAAAAAATGATGAAGAAAAGAAGCGATAGGATTATCTTTCTCTATCCGTTGCTTATAAATCGAATATTTCGATTTATCGCAGAAAAGATTTTAATACATCTTTAAAATTAACGTCATCTTACATTACCTTAAAATTCCTCTTTTATACTCGATATAAGTATTTTTAAGCGATATTACATAACATGAATTACATAAATAAGATCTGAGCATGGATTTTGCAATATTTTTTATCAAACACTGATCTTAAAAATACACGAGTTTTCGTCGTCCTATATTGCATTAGTTCTTTAAGTTTATATCATATCTATTTATATTTATAATAATAAGATTGATTTACCTGTCACAGTCTGGCTTTGAGGACGTGGCAAGGTATTGCTTCCGGAATTCAATGTCGGAGTCGGAGACAAATTCGATGAGAAACCTCCACTCGATCCACCGAAGGGCTTAGGACCAACGAGATTGTTGCTTGTTGGTGCCTGTAAATTTACAAATTTTCTTCTCTAATTGCCATTATTGTAATATATATATTGTAATACAATATGTTTTAATTTTTGATAAAAAATGGAGCATTGTGCATTTAAACAATGTTTTAATACAGTAATTTATATCATATTAATTATTTTTTTCTTTAGAATATTGTGATAATTCTTGAATCAAATAAATAAAGTATTCTCTTATTATAAGAAACGAGATATAAATTAAAATCACAATCAGAATTAACAGATTGTAAAAGGTTGTCAGTGCCAAATATAGCTGAACATGCGAGATTTCGCTGCTTTGATAACGTCTGTTAAAAGTGCGATAGGTTAATCAGTGACCCATATCGCAAAGTCTCAAGGAACGTTGTACTCCTCCCGTGCTCAAAACTGTTATTTCCGCTATGGAGGTCACATGCAAGCAGTTGCACACAATTTGATTATAAGCTTATGAATGAAAGTTTATTTGGGGATAACTAATTCCTACACCTTTGTGTATACTATATGATGTGAAGACAATTTTGCACCCGTTTAAAAATTTTACTTTATTTTAATTTTTATTATTTATATTTAGAACCACGGAATTAAAAAAATATGCACAAAGATCAGTTTGTAAAAATTGTTATTTTTAAAACAAATAATAATAACAGAATAATTTTCAATTTTCAATTTTTAAGTAAATTAAAGCAAGTATATTATCTTTACATTTATTAATTAAAACTTCATTTCGTTTTACATTATGTCAAATTTAGATTTTCATAAGTTAAAAGTTCATTGTCCGAAAAAAGAAAAAACAGTTTAACAGTTGAAATTTAAGTTTTTCATATTTTTGAATAGAGATAATAGAGAAAGTAGAAAAAAGACATCAAGATACACTATATTTGAATTATGTTCTAAGGTTAACAATTTCCACTGATGAAATGTTACTTTATAGTTAATTATAATATCTTGATATATTTTCGATAACAATTTGAATTAATTTCCGCGTTGAATCAAAGCAACGAATGTCTCGAATAGCAAATTGTGTAGGATAAATTATATACTGACGATCTTGAAGGACGAGATCAATTAGAGCGTTACGAATCGTGCTGGGACTTTACCTGGACTGATCGTAAGCTCGGTGAATCGACGGGCGGGGTGCCAAAACGGGTGGTAGGCTGCACAAAACGATACACCGATGTCATGTGGGACGAATGATTAAAAACAAGATGAGAGAGAGAGAGAGAAAGGGAGAGAGAGAGAGAGAGAGAGAGAGAGAGAGAGAGAGAGAGGGAAAAAGAATGGGAGAGAGAAAAGACAAATTGGCAGAAACATTCTCAATTACGACAGACTAATTAGTCACGAGTTCGAAATAGTCGGTCGCGAATGTAATTATTAATATACTTAGGTAATCGACTGATTCAAAAACATTTTAGTAATTATAATGATTTTTGCTTCAGTGCATACATGACTCTTTGATTATTAATGTATTAATCATTAACAAAAATTTTTAGATATATTTCTCGTATAATCAATGAATACGAAAAATGTAATAAATTATATATATAATTTTCAATTTTCAATTTTGTTTTTTTAATATAAAGAATGTGGAATTTTTTTTATTTTTATATAAAAAAATGTAGAACTTTAAAAAGTGCTACTAAAATTGTCATTGTTTTTTCATATTAATAAATTCCTGTAGTACTTTTCTACAGTTCTTTATAAAAATGAAAAAAAGTTCTGCATTTTTTATATTAAAAATCAAAACTGAAAAAATATGAAAATTATTTAAAAATCTATACATCATCGGAGCTCTGTTTAAAAATGATTGTAGGACATAGAATTCAATTAAAATTAATATCATCGAGAAATATCACTTGAATTGATAAACTTTTTCTGCAAATGTCGTGTTGTCTTCCACACACATATGTATATGTTATATAATACATATATTTGTACATATATATATATATATATGT